TCCTCCCAAATGATTACAATCTTAATATCGACTCTCATAAATCGAAATAACATCAACCTGCAAATTGTTTTAGATACGATTCACCAACACAGTTAAATCAAATTTCCACGCAAAAGACCATTTCTCTGTAGAAGTATTTCACACAATTTCACACGATTACAGTACACGCACCGAACGCGTTCGCCGCACAGAAGCACACACAACGAGCAGCGATGCCGCCTGCGCGAGCATCGAGATCACCAAGCATCCAAGCCGAAACCGTGCAAAACGAAGATAGTTACTCGAGAAATCCAAGGAACGAAACAATCGAAATTCGCGTCGTATCGTGCGTTAATCGAACATTTTATCGTCGTTTCACTGTAAATTCACCGTAACACGTTGTTTTCGTCGACCATTACGTTTCACCGATAATCCGAACGGTTTACACCAAGAAACATGCGAAGTGTTCACAGAACAATTGCCACGATAATAATCGACGAGTGGAGAACACGTTATACCGAACGAATTCGAAACGATTAGCCGTAACACACGCGTCTGGTCGAAGCAACAGCAACCAGTTCGAAGGGACGGTTGCACCAAGACTGATCCATGGATTGTGGCTCGGGGCAACGAAAGCCGCGAATCGAGCCGAGGATCCAGAAGATCCCCACCACACCTGCTTCCCACCCCCTTCGGCCTTTCGATTCCCCGCTCATTTCCAACCGCCGCGAACGGTTTCCTTTTTCTTTCCGGGCCCTTAACCCTCTTTTTCTCGTCGATGAACGAACCGATTTCTCTCGGGGAGAGAAAGAGAGAACCGCTGGCTCGCCAGACGGCGCAATAAATGCAAAACCGGGAACCGATCTCCGCTCGTTACGATTCCCATTCCTATATCCTCGGGTGGGAGGGAACAGAGGGCTAGGGATAAACCGATACCGTCAAGGTATCGATACTTTTACTCAGAGTTGGGCAAATTTTATTTCGAATAACGAATGACGAATACAGTCCCAGGATTTATTCGTGAATAACCAATAACGATTTTATTCGATGAAAAATTATTCGTTAGTCACGAATAACGCGTTATTCGTTACGATGCGGTAAGAGGAACCCTTCCGATGGTGCGTGTCGCCGTTGACGTAACCTTTATTCGCTGGTTCCTTCGAAGAAATTCTTATTTGAATAAATTCGTTTTATTCGTAACTTGTATTCGACGATTATTCGAATAAAATTTTATTCAACAACTTTGAGAAATGATTCTCCTCCCAAAAGATTTTTTCATACAAAAAACTTACGTTTAAAAAAATTGAATATGAATATTTATCTAGTACGAATGCTACTAAATACGATTTGGCTGGCGCGTCTGTGGATCAATTACTCTTTCTACTTATCGCAACATTGACAATAGTGCAATATCATTTATTTTTATCGATCTGACTGTCTTCTATCTGTTTATATGACATTATTATGAAAAACAGATAGCACGATACACAGTCAGTATTTGTAAGCACAAAGGAAATAGATACAACATAAAATGTATAGAGATTGAAAAATTTTATTGTACTTTTTTTCCTTTGTTCTTGCATGAAGAGTCATATGCTCTTTGACTGTATTACGATTTTGAATACGAAAATTTCAATTATATATTTCAGTTATATATTTCAATTTGGAATACGTAACAACTATTCAAAATGGAAAGTTTGTAGTTCTGTATGATGCTATGTGAAGATAGTTAACGAAAATATATTATAAATTATAACAATAATTTCAACTGATATACAACTGGCAAAAGACCCACTTGATTATAAAGCATAATTAAATATGTTCAACAAATTAAATAACTTTTTCTTTAATTTCTGTTTGTAAAAAAATCTGAATATGTATAAATATTTGCACTCTATTTGTGATAGAATTTAATACTACGGGATATACAGTTTGTATCGTTATTATAATAGTCATTATTTTCTTATGCGGATATCTTATTTATAATGAAACAGGAAATAGTTAACGCGAATATTATACAAAGTAATTATAAATAATGACAAATAATTCTTATACATCGACGTATCGTATCCGAAAAAATGAGCATGGAAAAAACAATTGCACGAAATATTATGAGTATAGGTTAACACAAAATTTACAGTGCAATCATGTTCGGATTATAATTCAAAATTCCAGTAACAACCGATACAAGATGTCACATTTTATATAAAGGTATTTTCATGGATTATATTCACTTATTCTTATTCAATCTGATAGCAAATTTACAAAAGCAGTGTCTGTAATTTCTCTGTATCAACATTTCCAAATAAATGTTTTTGAACCAAACCTTTTTATTAATTTCGTAATTTCAAATAATGAGAAAGCAGACACGCTAAAGATCACAATTAATATTCTGCAATTTCAACAGAATCCAGAAAATATCCCAAGCACAAAATAAATGTAATGACGTCGAGGGAAAGAAATCATGCTACAGCAATAAATCAGTAAGAACATCCTTCAGTAATCCACAACGGAACTAAATTTCATGTTAGATTCACTCCAAACGTACGAAAAAAAGACAATGCATGAATCACAAAACCAGAAAAATCGAGATAGAGCATTGCGCGGAAACCGCAAAAAATTCGACAACAGATACCCGATAATTAAACAACAAAAATTATGGAAATTAGAATTGGCTAAACGGCTCATTTATGAGCTAGAAAATTATGGACCAGCTAGTTTAATTCACATGGAAGCGGTATCTAACGTGACAAATAGACCAATTCAAATTTGGAGCTCGACCGGCCATTTCTACCGAACTGTAAATGGCGCGGAAAGTAATGAGAACGCGACACCTATCGATGCCGAGTACCACCAAAATGAAGAACCGAAATTTGGACCGATTGGCCATTGGACATTACTGGGCAACAAAGACCCGGACAATGTCGAAACGGATTTAAACGGCTGCCTGTTTTGCGTGGTCGCCTCGCAGACAGGGCACACCGTTGCTAATTTAAGGGCGAAAACGGTTAATGATTTGGAAAAAAACATAAACGCCTTCACCGTTCGTCTCGATAAATTTTTATCGTCCGATAGTAAAGACGGAGCACCGCTTATGATTGGCGGCGTTAGGTACAATGGTACGTCGTCCCGTTCAGCGGCAATTATTTTGGATAGGTCCCAAAACGTATATTGTCACACGTGTCATCAAACAGGGCATCCGCGGGGACACGCCTCTGACAAATTAGCCAGCGGTCCATTAGATAGCGTCGAGAATTATTCTCGAACGACAGGTAGCCAGAAATCTGGTTTCTTAAGCAGATCAGATCAGGATAGCGTAGCGCATTTTGCTCTATTGCATAGAACCGCGCAATCCGCGATGGCACGTTTAAACGAGGGCGCGACAAACGAAGCAGTAACGTTACATGCCCGAGATTTACAACTAGCAGGTTGTAGCTTACCCAAAATGAAGGAATATTATAACGGTGTCGAAAACTCGGGCGAATTAGATATCATACGTACCACGTTGGTGTTACGGCACCATCAGGATAAAGAAAGGGACCCAGACGCCGACGTGTTCGTGCACACATTTTATCCCCGCAGTCGGTGATATTTAAGTATTTATGTTTCTTGAATCAAACGTATTAAACGAAATTTAAAACGTATTGTAGTAAAGTGCAATCGATATCACATTCATGGAAAAACACAAAATTCACGCCGCGATTCAAAATCATGCACAAACGAATTACTCCCACGTAAACCGACTGTTCGACTGTTACTATCGATTTTTCTCGACTAAAGTTCGATGGTATTCGATACTGTTCCAATCAGTTATAGAATTGGCGCTAAATTTTAAAGTAAAGAATTACTAAAGTATCCTATAGTCAATTATTATTAGCATTGTGTAAAACATAATGCAATAGATATATTTAACAAAAATGAACGATTATTTCTTCAATACATTTTATTGTAAAATTATCTTTAAAAATTGAAATCTGCATAAACATCTCTAGTCCCTACTATTAATAAATTTTAATAATTTTATACAAATTTATGGAGATATTAAACAGAAATTTATGAAAACATTGAAAAATAGTTGGACAAAATTGGCATATCCCTAAAAAATGTAAATTATACTACATAATAATATTTAAAAAATAAAATATTATTTTATATAAATATTCAAATAAAGTCTTTATGTGTTTTTACCTGTTTGGTATTATACGTACTACGTTGGTTTTATGGAATCATCAAGGAAAAGAAAACGACCCAAACGCGGACGTGTTCGTATACACATGTTATCTCCCCAATAAGTGATATTTAAGTTTCTATATTGAATCAGACGTACTAAACGAAATTCAAAACATATTGTAGTAAAGTGTAATGGATATCACATTCACGGAGAAACACAAAATTCTTGTGACGATTTAAACGGATGCACAAACGAATTACTCCCTCGCAAACCGTTTTCCCAACTGTCACTATCGATTCTTTTCGACTAAAATTCGATACCATTTAAATCAGTCAAAGAATGCCCGCTAAATTATGAAATAAAGAATTACTAAAGTATCCGATATTCAATTATTATTAGTTTTGTGTAAACTGTAAAACATAATGCAATAGATATATTTTTAAAAAATAAACAATTATTTCTTCGATACCTTTTATTATAAAATCATCTTTAAAAATTTGAATTTTGCATAAACATCTCTAGTTATCACTATTAATAAATTTTAATAATTTTATGCAAATTTATAGACATTAAACAGAAATTTATGAAAATATTGAAAAATAGATGGATAAAATTGGCATATCCCTAAAAAATGGAAATTATATTAATAATATATTCAAAAATAAAATATTATTTTATATAAACATTTAAATAAGATCTTTAAGTGTTTTTACCTGTAAACACTTTTTTTAAAAATAACATTCTGACATGATTGCATAGGATTATACTTTTATTCAATTATATAAAAATATTTTACTATATGGGACTTGTATTTACACACACTTAATCACAATATTTACACTATCATATACTATCTTATTTCGTGGCTACACCATGTCCATATCATAGTTCTTAAACAATTTCTTGCCACTTCAACTTCATTATCATTTTCTGAACAATCTACTTTAGTTACATATTCACTACCAAAACGTAACATATCTTCGCACTCGTCCATATTACCAAACAGTCTCTTAGAAAATTCAAGAATGTCCATGATCTGCTCCTTAGTAACAATTATTTTCATGTGTTTAGACAAAAATAACTTCTGCAAAATATTTATGTATAATGCAAATGCTGTAACCTTGATATCTTTAGATAAATGCGTCTTTAAACTCAATGCGACATTTAGTAGCATCAACTTATAGTGGACCGTGTCTCCATTCATTTTCAATATAGTATTCAAAAGAGTGTCCAGTATTTTTACTAGGAGCTCGATATACTGAACTTCATTACTGTGCAAATTCGTTGTAACATGCAATAACCATGGAAATAATCCATGTCCTTCTATAAGAAGCACAGAGCCCTTGGTAATTTTCAGTGTTGCGTCAACAACCTCCAAAATAAGTTTCTGAAAAAAGGGACATCTATAAGGCTCTTATCCTAATTTTGCAATAGATTGTCGTTTATCCGGTTTCAACACTTAAGTCTTACCTTTGTGTCTAAGTCTGATAAAGTACAAGTATAAAAATCTAGCAACATTTTAAACAGAACGCATTTAAACGCTACATCCAATTCTGTTTCCGTCTTTATACCGTCACGAATAATTTCTAAAATCCAACGTCTATGAGCTTTGTGTTCTATATCAGAGCTATGAAATAATTGTAACAGTTCAGGTATGGAATTTGTGTCGAGTGCAGGTTTAGCCATTAGAAATACTTGTAGACGCGAATAAAGGGGATGTAACGGTTGCGTAGCGATCATAGATGCTCTTGCCAAAAATGTAGCGACTAAACAATTTAAACGGACATTGTCGATCTGTGATTCCGATGTCATGATACCATAACGCAACGCATTTATCAATCTCATCCATAAAAGTTTTCCTTTCGAGCTATAAATAAAAAAAAATGAGATATCTTCAAAATAAAATAAAAGGATTGGATATAATTAGGTGTAAATTACTGTCTAAAATACCTTGACGATTCCAAATGAGTATAATATCTAGCGATGATAGTATACGCTACCATACGAACATCAGAATGATTACTGCTGCAGGCAGCAAATGCTAATCCTAGAACACCACTTTGAGCTACTTTATGATAAGACACAACATTATTTTCGGATAATAAAAAGCACACCAAGGGTAAATAAAATGCTGGATCGTATACATCCTTTGCTAAGTGCAATTCAGTACTCTAAGAAAAAGTTAAATAAACGAAATTAGTCTTATTGAATAATAATTTGTTACTGGTTAATAGTAATAATAATATAAAAATCAAAAACGAACATTTAAATTTAGATCACCGAGTATTTTAAAGAACTCACCCTCAATGCTCTATATACAGGATAATTTTTTATAGTATTTTTCAGTAGATGTGCCTCAAACAAATTTAGAACTTGATTAGTGGATGGTTGCCTCCATAAATTCATATGCGTTTCACCCTTTACGCTGTAGTGTACTGCCGCTGCATTTCCCCACATGTACGGTCGATATTCAGAAATATTAATATTATTACTTTCGTAATACTGCAAAATCTAAAATCAACACATATATTGGAATCTTATAACATGTTCTTTAAAGAAATTATAGGAAATTTATTGGTAATGTTCTTACAAGCAACAGATATTGATCAGCATCACTTAAAGTGGCATTGTATGCTGCCAAATAAACGGGAACATGTGCCAGGAGTATTACTGTTTTATTCTTCTGCATAAGAATCCACAATAATTCCACTAAATCTCCTACAGATGCAATATATTAATATTTAAAAAAAAAAACATGTTTTGTTAGTAAAAGAAAGTGTGTACATACTTTTCACATCCAATGATTCCAACATAATGTTAAGAAATTCAGAATGAGAAGTTGCCATTTCAAACAACGTTTTGGCATATTCGTTGTTACTGTCGTTCTTGTACGTAATATCACATAGAACATTTAAAGTTTTCAATATTGGCACAGACTGTTTATTGTTTCTTAATTCCTTAAGGCCTAACTTTAAAGAAAAACGCGTGAACTGTGGCCACGAGTGATTACTATTTAATGCTTCAAATACAAAGTTTTCATTCTTGTCTCTTAAAGTCTTAACGGCCTTATTCAACATTTCACAAAGAACGCAAAGTTTTTTTATATTTTTCGATTCTTTCTTCAGTGTTAAAGTAGTTATGTGAAGAAGAACTTGTAATAAATTCGTAATAAATTCTTCATTGTCTGTTCCCATAGTTGCACATTTGTTGAACACACTTTCAAGAATTAATACATACTGCGTTGATACCATATCCAACATATCACCAGCTTGTAAAATAATACTGCACGTTTCACTACAAGTCTTAAAATCAAATGTATTTTTAATTAGATAAGAAACAGCAACAATATTTTTCTCTATCCAATTTTTCACATCTTTGGGATTACACAAGTAGGACAGAATTTCAGTTTCATAATGTGTCTTCAACTTTTGCATAAATTCTTGATTCCATTTAAAATTTAAATTACTTTCAATTATTGGGAAAACAATGCTACTTTCTTTTATCTTCTCAGACTTCAACATATATTCTATAAAGACTGGTACGAATTTTATATTTTTACTAATTAGAAATGAAAGTAGTTTGGTAGTTGTATCTTCAATTTTTGTTGACATCAATGACAAAAAGATATCTGTAAACACACAGTATAAAGTAAGCGAACATAAAATAAAATTAAAATATATATTTTTATCATAATTACGTTACCTGTGTCTATGCCAGCAATATTAAATGGAAATTTTGATACGTATTTATGTAAAGCCGACTCCCACTTTTCGAAATTAATAATTCCTTTGGATTTTAAAGCAAGTAGATGAGAACATAAACATTTAACAAACTCTGCGTCGAGCTCAAATAGTGAATTACGCTGAGATTTAATTTCATCAGTGCTAATAAGTTCTAAAAGTTTCGGAGTTATGTGACCATACATTGACAAATCTACGTCATCTTTTGAAATGAACATAGAATTCTCCAGTTTCACAAGCTTTTTTAATAAATGCACAACATCCTCTGATGTTGGTTGCAGTAAATCAAACAGCGTTATAATCGCTTTAACATTATTTATCTTGTCACCTCTTTGATGCTTATCTGTCATTTTGTGTAACTGCACGAGTAATTTATTTCTAAACTGAGAAACTAGATTTCTTATGTCACACTTTTTGCACAAGTGAGTCATTGTGTTGCAAACATCAAAAATCGTAAGAGTTATCATACTTTTCGCGAAATCTTTACTCTTTTGATGAAATGGTGAAAAATAATACAAAATGACAGGATGAGTAAAAACAGATTTTACACATTCATCAACCAGTGCAGAATCGTCTGGATCCTCTTTTGCAATATATAACAAAGATATGAAAAGAATTTTACAGTTATTATTTCGAGTCGTCGTTAAAGACTCCCGTTTAGCAAATTGTGTTAAATAAAATACAGTCATCTTAAATAAGTACATGATTTCGTATGCTGATAAAGAATGATTAACTGTAATAGTCTCATTATTATATGTGAAAGTAACTGTATTGGCACCACTAAATACTTGATTTATCTGTACTGAAGTATCATCTAATAATATGCGATTTAGTTTACATACTAAATCCATAGAGGGATATACTTCTTTAACATGAATAGGATAGTTGTCCAGTAACCAACTTTGCAGATATTTCTGTACTGATAATTCTTGTACATCTTTTGCTAAATGTATTAAACACTGTGGTGCAACTTGATAATGCAATGCATGTACTAGTACATAAGAAGCATAAGATGATACCATGGGGAGTACATTTTTCTTCATTTTATGTAACATGCAACAAAGAAGTGGTGATATCGATGTAAAGCGTTGCATATGTAAAACAGTATTTTCTAAACTTTCATGAATAGTATCCCTATCTATCAATTCTGAAAGTACAAAAAAAATAGACTTTAAATATAATATAATTATATACAATAGATATGAAATATAATATAAACGAAGTAATTATAATCTATAAATTAATTCATATGTATAGATAATTCTTACCATTAAATATGTTTTCTACTCGCCCGACATGTACAAGCTCTTCCTCATTGATAACTTCTTCCGTTTTGATTATTTCATTGACGTATCTTTCAACATCTTTCGCAACCTTCTTTATAAGATGAACAAACCAATTAACTGTTCCATTCATCTCGTCTAAATGTACAAAACCATTGACCCAGATATCTAACTGATCATTACATCCTTCAAACATACCAGTGGCATTTAATAACATTTTAATTGTTAATTTTATACTTGATGCATCCGAATAATCTTCCTTATTCAAAAATGGTAATAAAAATGATAATACCTGGCCGAATATTTTCTAAAAAAAAAAGAAATGTTCGTTAAAAATTTTTAAGAATTTACGATTTCAGACGACATTTAAATGAATCAAAGTAAAAGTTTAATCAAAATTGCAGTGTTTTACACACCTTCTGCGGTGAAAATTCAGCGGGATTCAGAACAACTAAAAATTGTATAGCTCTAACTCGTATAGCATTAAGCTCCATTATATCGACATCGTTCAATGTGTTCAGTGGATTTAAAAATGTAGTAGGTTGCAAATCTGATAATGAATACAATAACTTTGGACATATTTCATTGTAAATATGCAATACGTTTAAGATGGCTGTTAGATGTTCAAGTTTTCTCGGTTCTGAAACACATTCTTTATTAACACTCTCATCCTCAATTTGACTTGATATAAACACACAATTCCACACTTCTAATATCACATTTAAATTTGGTGCATTCTGGAATATAAAAATTCTTTATTAATATAATAAAAATAATTGTATTATGTGTCATTTATGTATTTACGTGACAAATACATACCTTCACCACATATTCTAATACACAATTTTGAAAAGCACAAAAATCAATGTGTTCATTGTAATTCACTTTTGCTGCTAATAAATACTTTTGTATCTGAATAAACATAGCCGTAAGTGTAATTACCGCCTGATGTCTGACTATTATATTAGAATGAGTTAAGGATGGTAATATTGCACATTTCAATATTATTACTGGTAATGTTAATGACATTACTGCGTTAGCTGATTGAGATACATTTAATTCCAATGCACAAACTTTTAAACAAGTTTCTGGATCTGTTGAAGCTATTATCTGTAATATAACTCATGTAATGTGAACATTCACAAAATTAAATAAAAAACAATAAGACTATATGATTTAAATTCAGATTATTTATCTTAGTAAAATTACCTTTCTCACAAAATTCATTGCTGCAATCCATTTTGTTGCTACTCTGGGTTCAATATGTGATTCCAAAAGTGTAAACTGAGACTTAATTAAATCTGGACATGCTGCCATTATTTTAATTAGCAGATCCGATGGTTTTTCATGTTCCCACGGACGATCTAAGCTTTGAAGTATTGTATTTACTAATTGATTGTGTTTAGCATGCGTTGTACCAAGTGTACGATCGTGAAATATAATTCCATACCGATGAGACGTTAATAACACAATTAGAAAATCATGAACAATTTCAGTTACAACCTAAACATAAAAAATCATCCTAAGTCGATAAAATAAATATTAATAGTAATTCAGAACATCGTCGAAAATATCACCTCTTTTTCTTGAAGATATCGTGGAGCTGAAGTAGAGTTGTGTATTTTATTTCCTGGCCAATTGTTTGGACCCTTCCAATTGTACAGACATACAAGATTCTGAACAACTGGTGTTGAGAATATATGTAGCTTCATTGTTTTACTAATTTTCGGATTTTGGAGGATGTATGTTTTCAATGTGGTTAGTACTAGAGCAATAATATCTTTGGAATCATATATCAAAGCAGAGAATATACTAGATAATAGGTCATGTTTGTCCAATAAAGTTCTAATAGTTGATACATTTCCTTCTATTAAGAAAGCAAGAATGAAATGAATGAAACAGTTCCTTATGTTCTGAGTATCTGTAGGCTTTGTGTGCCGTACAAGACATTTAATAACTTCTGATTGTATAGAAAGATGAGCAAGCAATTCACGTGGAAGGTTACCACCTAGTGAAACCATTGCAGCTAGCAATTGTAGAACTATTTTCCTCTGCTTAGCAGTACTTTGCATAGAAAGCATAGAATGTACTAATGATAAATGTGAATTAATTATATGTCTACATGCTCCTTCTGCACTGGAATGATATTGAGGATACTGTGCCATAATTCTACAAACAATATACACAAGTTAATATACATTCATACAATAAATCTTGCTTTAAGTAAAATTTCATATAAATGTGCATACTTTATTAACATTATCCTTACTGCAGAAAAAACAGTAGTAGCAGAACCAATACTTTTTTTATCCACGCTATCTAATAATTTTAATAACTCAAGAATATTGCCACCTGCATTTAAATATTCTGCAGCTATATCTCTTTCTTTACTGTCATTGCAAGCTTTCACAAACTGCCTTAGAGAATCTAAACCATTAACAGAATTAAAAGTAGCCCTTAAGGATTTTCCATCTAATTCTTCTACTTGATTGTTAACATTTTTCTCATCTTCCAAATCATTTTCATCATTGTCAATATTTTTCACATCTAGAATAATATATTTACCCATCATTTTTATAAAAATCATTTTGTACATTATATAATAAAATATACACAATACTTTTCATGGTTTTTAAATCCTGAATTTCAGCAATTCCTTCAGATATTTTTTTAGTTTCAGAAACTTCAATGGCATCTAATTCAGATTTCTTCTTTCGCCTCTTACTAACTCCATTTTCTTCACATGACAAATTCCTTTTTACCACATTTGTGTCACTGTATTTATCCATTACTTTTGTACTACCATTCATATTACTGGATTCTACAATTGCATTTTTTTAGTTAATACGTTGTTTAAATTAAAGATATTATGTATACGGCTTATTATATGGCATTAAAAAAAGCAATGTTTTAATTTGTATTGTCCATTCAAAGATTCATTTTGTTCATTAAACAAACAAAAAGAATTCTACTGACAAGATAATTATTATATTTATCATATTAAATAAAGTTACCTTTGTCACTTAATGAAGCTTTTCTTTTTCTTCTTTTCTTCATATCGATTTGAATGTTATGAGATACGTCGTCCGCTGACTTGAGTTTCATGGTTAATACAAAATTTATTACATACAAAATTTACAAACTATAGTATATACACTCTCGATATATTTATTATATTCTGAGATACAAATAAATTTAATTTTTTATTTCCGTTGCATCTACAGAATGCAATTCTCTACCAATAAAATTTAAATAACCTATATCGTACTACCCGTACAACGCACCCACCACGTGCACTTCGTTGATTGTATATATGAAATTTGTATATTTTATATATGCCTCACACAACCTCTGTGAAGTTAGTCGGGCAATTATAACTTTTTAACGTTTCATTATACCCAATCGATTGGTGGTCGATTGGTGGTCATTGGTGGCCTAATTAGAACATTTGATTGTGAACAAAATTTGACCGTGAAATTAGCCGACAATTTTTTTTTTCGCCGGATTCAGTTTTTTAAATGCACAATCGATGCGTAATCGTTTGGTGGTCATTGGTGGCCTAATTACAACATATGGTGGTACTTAGTTTCTATAAAAAACGAAATAAACGATGTAGTCATCTGGCATTTCAGGCTACAGGTGTACCAACGCACGTTTCAAGTTGATAAAACAGATATTTCTGGATTGATTGTCTTTTCGGATGAATCAATCGATGTAGAAAGGTGTGCTAATGATTGGTGACCTAATTGAAACATTTGGTGGTCATTAATTAAAGCAGAATATATGAAATTCGTACCTCTGCAGTACGGCAAGCATCGAAACCTGTGATTGGTTGAGAAGTGAATACAGGAATATTAAAATACATTTTGGTGATGGTGATGGATCGTGATTCGGCGATCACTGTGATAAATCACCGTTAATGATTTTGCACGCCATCTGTACAGTCCACAAATATTATCACAGACGAAATATAGAATAGACTAACATGCAATGCAATTTTCTGTCACATGCTTCGAGGGCTCCAAAGCTCCCTTACCATTTCAGTGTCAATACATGACGTTACCGATAAAGCAAGATTATGTCTGACGACCCACTGCATCGGATCAATACTGCAAACTCTCATAAATGGAAGAATTATTTCTGTCAGTGTTATTACTTAAAAACAAAATAAAGTGTGTCTGGTTACGTACAGCCTTTTTCACTTTTTGGGGGGCAAAATGCCTTTTTGCCCCCCAACCCCTGACTGATAACCGGGCTATGCCCATGTGTATAGCATACCACGCCGCGAAATGGTTTCAATTTTAATTATACTACTTTTACACACTTATAATTTATCATTATCAACAAAATTTTATACAGACATTGTTGATAATTTAAATTATTTAGATACAATTTATCAGAGTAGGTTGAGACATTACGAAGGTCAACCCTCTCCTTCTGCATGCACAAATGATTAATCCCAACGTCACACGTTTTACATAAATACATGTGTCGATACCAGCTGTTCACCGGTCAAGAATGATATCTTGAGTGATTAAGAAGCGTCAAGTGGTATTTCATTTTCACGACAGGAAGATGATGGAAAGTGTAATTCACGAAAATGTATGATGTATTTTGACAGTGCCAAGTGGTGGCAGGAATTATAATGATGGTACAAAATTATCTGCTAATTGCAGTGAATGACGTCGTAGCGTCGTGAAATGCACAAGGAATTAAACAATGATACTCGATCAGATACGACTGTTTCTTTGTCTAATATTTGTAATGCATGCAAGTTTCAGTGAGCTTTGTTACGTCGAAGCGCGTGGACATTGTTGCAAATATTTTAATAATTTTGTTTATGTAGTGTAACCTTTAAGTGATGCTAATTTGACACTTGTTAGAAAAAGTATTTAAATAATAAAATGGAACAAAGAATAACAGGATGGAGACGTTATACACTAGTACAACCACCTGTGATGATATTAGTATTTGCTCAAGCGATTACAAGTAATTACTATACATTTTATTTAAATACTTAATGTGTAGTTCATTATACAATATACATAATGAGGGACAAAAGTGTTTTGTACATTTTATGTATTACATGTAGAGACAAGTGGAATTTATTTTGTTTTTACATATTTATTATTACGTATAAATCCGTGTGTATTATACGAATAGACGCGTGTGATTATAATAGTACATAATATTATATTTGTGTCTATCACTGTATATATGTGTATACATTGAAAATGTTTCAAATATTTAAGATAACAATAATGTCTAAACTGGAGAAACAATGTACAAACCATTTGAGAACAATATTTTTGTTCATCTCTTAGAAATGTTACAAGCTTGATATTAATGACACAATTTAATATAAAATTAAAATGTGTAATTTACTTTTAGGTAATATTTTAACTGACCTGATACTGTATCGTGTTTGTAGTATAACGTTAGATATAAATAAAACAGAGTGTTCACTATTACATAAAAACAGTAGCTGTGCAGAAGCATTGAGAATAGATGCACAAGTACAACCCGAAGCAACCTTGATTTTGACGATTAAAACCTTTATTGAAAGTATTTTCCCTGCATTGTTGTCCTTATTTTTGGGACCATGGAGTGATAAACATGGAAGAAAACCTATATTAATAGCAGGATATATTGGTTAGTATTATATGTTAAAAAGAACAAACATCGAATTCCTTGTTTACTCAATAAAATTGATTCGTTTACATAACATGATAATTTGTATATTATTGAATATTTTATTTTTAATTTATTGTCATTTTTACTTTTATTTCATAGGTGTGTCTCTGACATATTTAATTTTTTCATTCCTGACTGTTTGGGATATCAGTCCATGGTTTTTGCTGATTGCATATATTCCATCTGCATGTTTTGGAGGATTTTGTATAATTTTGTTGGGTACTATCTGTTACATTTCTGACATATCAAATGAACGAGAAAGAGCGTGGCAATTAGCTTGGATGGATGCTTTATTATTTTTTGGCCTTATAATTGGTATATTAGTTGGTCCTATTCTCTTCCAAGCATATGGATATACATTTGTATTTGGTTCTTCTACTGTGTGTTGCATTTTGGCAGGAATATATGTTTATTTAATTCCTGAAACTATACAAGATAATAATTCTGTATGTACTTATTGTAATGTTTACATTGTTATTATCTTAAACTAGCGATAAGCAACATTTTTCTGCAGCGGTTCAAATGAGGAATCTATCAGTCCGTAAAGGCCGCTATAACTGCAATCTTAAAAAACCTAATTTATTAATTTAAAAATCGTTGATTTATACATAGTATAAAATTTGTTATTTTCAACTTATGTGACAACGAATACAGATTTACAACTTAGCGAACCGCATGGCCGCAAATAAATAATTCGCGGCCACAGATTGCTTATCACTCATTTTAAGAAATGAGTATGCTTAATATTACTTTCTAATTTATTTCTTAATTCTTGTAGAAAACTTTGAGTAGCTTGTTTGATGTACATTTAGTCAAGGAACTTATCAGTACATGCACAAAAAAACGAAATGGTTTCAATCGATACATAGTTTGGTGCTGTATAATTGTCATTACTCTGTTAGTGATAATTATACAAGGAGAAATGACTATTGGATATTTGTTTACGAGCGCTAAACTTGGCTGGGATGTAAATACATATTCTGTTTACCTAGCTACTAAAATATTCCTCATAACTTTTGGAATAATATTCGGAGTGAAAGTTTTGACGACTTATACAGGTTCAGTAATGAATCGAAATTTTAGAAAAAACATTTAGAATACAGAATGAAATTTTGTAAAAATCAAATAATTGTTGTAGGATTTTCTGAAGAGGTAGCAGCTCTATTATCAGTATTATCAACTTTAAGTTGTTCTTTAGTTCAAAGCTTTACATGGAAATCATGGCACATGTATTTCTCAGCAATTATTGGTACATTTAGCGGTGTTGCTGGTCCAATGATGCGTTGTATATTATCTAAATCTGTTCCCTCAGAGGATACTGGTAAACATATAAACATTTTTATAACTTATATTAGATATTACTTCGTTTCATGTTACATTCTGAAGTCGATATTATGTTGTATGATATTTGCGTTTCGACATACATTTAGCGGATTATAAAAGATACTAAATTGAACAAGTTTGACAAAAATATCATAAAAAAATTTATATCGATCTTTATCAATAAGATATTTCTGAATGAGCTCGTAGTTATTGGAGATGAAACGGTGAAAGGTTTAGAAGAAGTACAACATACTATACATATGTGTAACTCCTAATTAAACAATAGTAATGTATATTACAATGTAACTACCACTTAAAGTTAAAAAATTATTAATACTTTTATATTTTTCCAGGTAAAGTATTTTCTTTGGCAGTATCTATAGAAACATCAACACCATTTGTAGCAGCCTCTTTGTATGGATTTATTTACTCACATTATATGCCACCTATCTACCCTGCACCAATCTGGCTGGTATCTGCAGGAATTTCTGTCATTGTGATATTTCTATTGGTAAACATACGAATTCAAAATGCAAAATCTAACTCCATTATGCATCAGCCATTGACACAAGAGAGTGAATAATATGTTCATACTGATATTCATGCAAAACTATACAATGGACATGCACAAGAACCTGCTATTGGAACGTTCAGTTCCAAATAAAGTTTGAAACTTTTTATTGTAGTATTGAATTACATGTATTTTGTATATTTATACAATGTAATAAGAGTATAAAATAAAGTATACAACTTTAACCAATTCTTTTATGCAATTTAATAAAAATATTATTACTTATATTGAGATTCAAGTAGTGAGAATTGGAATGTGAAGAATTTAAGACAACAGATTTACACGTAACTTATAATTCGTCATAATAGTCGACGTGATCACCTGACGTATATTTATGATCTTTGAGAATCTCTAAAAGTCGGGTAACTGTTTGTTTGCAAGTTAAAACGATTTTTTTAGTTACGAGTTCATTCATGTGTGCCTTAACTTCTTGATCAGCATGTTGCTCGCATACTTCATGTAACATGTCAGTTTCAACAGGACCCGGTGAATAATTTAATACATTCACTTGCGGATTTTCTAAAGCAAACACCTGTACATTAAAAGATAAAATAAATTCATAAATAAGTTATACATAAGCAATGTATACATATAAAAGCAAACCTTATTACCTTAAAGAACATCTCCCGTGCTGCTTTTCCGGTACAATAATAACCCGTATATCTTGTTGGTTTTATAGCAAACAACGAAGTAATGTTTACAACCGTTTTTTCAGTATTTGTGTTTTCGTTAAATATTTTCATTACAACTCCATTCAATATAGCAGGAATAAAAACATTTAAGTCATAATAATTATGCCATGTGGTTAAATCACTCATATCGTTTGTAGTTTTAGAAATGTCTCCCATTGTACCAACATTGTGTACTACAACCAATCGATCGAATTGTTCCGGTGTTTTATCCTTCAGAGACTGCATTATAATCTCTAAAATGTACACAATTTTGAAAATTGATCTAACACATGTAAGTATGTATGCTGACAATAAGTAGAAATGGAATATAATAGGTAGCTCCATGTAACTTTTATGAAAGCTTGCGTCGAAATAATCGTAAACACTCTGCAGGGCAGAACTTCAGTAACATCACCATAACAATAAATACAACAAAAGATGTCTTTGTCTGAATTCATTTGTCCGGTACTGTATCTGTATACTGTACTTACTATGTAGTTCATCCTCTGTTGCTTTACTCAGATCAACACTCACAGTGTCAACTGTTATATTACTGGGAATATTTTTAGCAGTTTCTTTCAAAGCGGTCAAGTTTTTTGCCAGCAAAAGAGCATGAGAACCATCTTCTAAGATTGAACCAAATGACACTGCAATTTGTTTTCCAATTCCACGACTTGCACCAGTTATCAAGAAAAATACCTTTCCTGATAATGTTTCGACTGCCATGTTTTCTTAAACTGATATATTACTATTTGAAATATTTAGTCAACAAATTTTGATTTACTAATTTGTTGATTTTTCTATAATTTCTTTGTCTTGTTCAGCTTCAGTGACTACTTGAAGAACATCTGCTTTTAAAAGACAAACTAATTCAGTAGCAGTTAAAGCCTAAAATATAAATATGCATCTTTAGATTGAATATTTCTATTTAAGAGACACTGTAATCTATTGGAACCTTTATAACTATGTACCTGTAAATGAGGTGCTATATGTCTAATCAACGGATTTGAAGCTAATTCTGTTTCTTCTTCTGTTTCAAGTTTACACCCAGAAGTTATTAAACGAGCAATACAATCTTCTTTCACTTCTGCTAATGATGCTACCAGATCCTTCTTTGATGTTCCTTTTTGAAGGCTTCTAAGCCTGGTATCTAGATAAGAAATGTGCATTAAAACAAAAGTTATTACAATAGTAATTAATAAAATATTTTATAGAACTTTCTATATTGTGCAAAGATAAAATTTGCATAAGTACCGTCGTATTATTTATACGTAAAAAATTTGTGGGAAGAAGTAAGAATGTAAACGACTCACAAAGTTTCTCCAAATATTCCTCCGAATCGGCAAGTTTCGAGTGTTCTGATTGATATTCTACGAAAGAATCTTCAAAACGACTGATACAATTTTTGTCGCTGATTTCTGATACGTCTACTCCCGACCACGGATCCGTAATGTCTGTCTTCATATTCTCTTAATGTGCAGTTTTCTTTTTTCAAGTGATTCAAGGTTTATCAATCCTTACATAAGTATGACTGGCTGGTATCCGTCCTTAGTGTCTTTCACTTTACTCGTCTTTACTCAACTACTCAATATGTAGCACGGATTCAAGTTACTATACATCGTAGTCATCCGTGGTCAGTAGATTTATGTATCTGGCAGTATCTGGATTTAGCTTGATTTATATCTCCATTGGCCGGTACAGGTTGGGTTATTTTCTGGTCTTTCTATTTACTGACATTTGTCACTACATATGACCAGGTACAGACCATACAGACTACTACACTGTACTACACTTTGGTACAGATCAGTACAGATGAGTATAAATAGGTAGCCTGACACCTTATTACTGACGAGTACCTAGATATTATTGGATATTATGATAGGATGAGAGCAGAGAGTCAGACGTGCGGACTCGTCGTGTACTTGGTTCATGAAGTATATGTAAACATTTTGATATTTTGATTTGACAGTCAAATTAAAACAAACTATTTATTGAGAGATATGAAATACATGTTATACAGCATAAATATACTTCAAATACGTAAATTTCATATATGTATATTAAGCTATATAATTATATTAAATTTTTAACAGCCGCAGACAGGTACATACATAAAATATGTATGTTATACGCGTATAAAGTTATATGTAAGCATAATGATTGTCAAATTAGATTATATTATAGGTATAGGTCATTCAATTTGCTTTTGAATTAGCTATAAGAATGTGATTACAAATTAATGTTGTATTTCCTTGATGAATTGCAGATGACTAAGTTCTGGGCTCTAATAAATTACCAACAACATAAAAAAACTTTCCATGAATAATTTATTATGAATATATAAAGTCTTGTACTTCATACATTAAAGAACAATCGACATCAATTCAATATGGTTAAAAAGCATACAGTGATATGAAAAAATGTTTACAAAAATATTGGTCACTTTATTACACAGTAAAAGCAGCTGTTAATACCATTTAGTACGACATTCAGACACCTTTTTAGTCTAAAATATTTTCGTCTACGTAGTATGCATAACATATGCACTGTGTGTCATTTAAATACTACATCTGTATAATAGCTGTGGTATATCATATGATTATATGTACAACGGTTATTGTTATTGGTTCAATGGAAAATTGCATTACATAGTATATCATAAATAATAATATTGTCCAGGTAATCAATGAGTAGCATGAAGTATCTTTTTTCTTTTAATAAATAAAATATAAAAATGTATTCGCACGAATATGCAGTTAAAAATTTGAAAGCAATTTAAATCATCCAATTATGATAAAGTTTTAATATAGCGATTATTATAGCTGTAGAACCAATATACGTTATACATAGAATATTATTGTTAATACATGGTAAACGCCAGGTATTTGATACATTTTCTTTACAGATTACAATTAACATCTATTACGATATACTCTGTAAAAAATGCACCTAAATAGACCCTGCACATACTTTCCAATGTTAAAAGATGATTTAACAGATACTATGAGTATCATATCCTAAATACAAATCTACATTATGCTGTCTATTAGTTTTTTCTTTCTTCAAAAGTGTATACTCAACTTCTCACATTAATATCAAAGGTCCAGGAACATTGGTTCTATTAATATTATACGAAAATTTCTAATCTAATTAATTAAGACAACCAATTTCGTGAATCATAAAATCATACAGAGTTTGTCAGTACATATACATACAATTTAAAATATGTATAACTTGTACAATTGTAAAATGTAAGCTTTTGAGCAAAATATTTGTTCTTTAACAAGACAAACACATTCAGACTGGAAACAATAAAAACTGAAGTATAAATAAATACGTGTAATTTTTTGCGCAGATTTTAAATGTACAGAACTGCAAATTTGAACACAATATTCGTGTTCGTTTTTTTAAAAGTTGCTTTAAACTATTTGTAAAAATTGTTTCAAAATGTTTCTAAAAATGTAACTAGATACAATAAAGTGATGTTTTACAATGCGATTATTGCTTGCAATTCAAGATTTTCTTAGGCGTTATTAGTTCCTTTTTTTTATTCTAAGTTTTATGCTTGAAAAAAAAGCACTTAAAAAGGAAGTCTAACAATGTCACAGTTAAAGAACACAAGTTCGTCTAAAGTATGATTCAGCAAATTTGTAATACAATTTGACTTTTGAAATTGTATTAACTGGAAGCAGATTTAAGATTCACTAACAGCCTTATATCTTTTAATGTTTTTTATAAAAAAATGATATAACTTGACGAAAATTTTAATTTTAAGATCACAGTGTTTACTAATATTTTCAACAGTTTAATATCCCATGAAATTTCATTGCTTTTTTGTAACTGTATTCTATATTTAAATAATGTATATTTGCAAATAGATAAATTATTCATGCAAATATATGTACCATATACAGATGTGTTTTTAAATAATTAATTTGATTTATATGCATAGCAACAGTGTAATGATGTAATTTTAATGCAATGTACAGGGGGTATGTTGCAACAAACTAATTGGTTCTAAAACCTCGTTCGTGATAGAATTTACATTGAAATATTCTATGTAATTTTACAAACAGTAGCAAAAGATGACAACTGACGCTTTAATACTATTCACGACTGTTATTATCAATAACTTATTAATAAATTCGTGTCGTCAGTTATTTCGTTACCACGATAACGAAGGCAGACTGGGAGAATCGATAGAATGACCGATCGTATTTGTCCGCGTTCGTTGCACTGTTGCAGCATTCTGATTGTAATAATAAAAACGGTTCGTTGTAACATACCCTACTGTATACTTAAAAATCTTTGCACTCTATCTTCTTTGAATAGGAGAATTCTTCAACGTGTTAAATATTATGTAAATAATAAATAACATCTATTTTGATTGTTACATAAGAATGCAAAAGGTTAACATTTTGAAAATTCGTATCTGATGCATCAATACTTTTACCTGATATATATCTTACAGTATGGAAGAAATGTGGGATTAAATATTTTGTATGTGATGTAATAATAATAACGCAGTAATAATATTACTTATTTAAATTCTAGAATTAATGACCCTATAGATAAAGGAAAAATCACAACCGGCAAGTAGCCAATTACATGCTAGTAACAAAAATATGATTAATATTACAATAAATTATGCCATGTTTGGCTTCAGGAATTTTATGAACGGCATGCAACGTAGCTATCAGAATCTAAAACTCCCTGAATTTGTAGAGAAAACACATTCATTATACAGTATAAGAATACCAATACAGTAAATTCTAGATAAATGCTCAGAAAGATCTCAACGCTAAATACTTCTGCTTCATCCCCACTACTGGGGAGTTCCTTCATGCAACCAGTCAAGTCAGTAATGTAATCTCCCGTTCACGAGCTGACGGCTGAAAGTTTGGAAGTTAAAAACAGATTACAAGTCCGCGTATGGGCATGACAACACTGATGCAATAATAGAACATTTTTTATTTTTGGCTATTTTGTTACGAAAATTTTATTAAAATATAAGTGAAATTTTTCTGATTAAAATAAGACCAAACACGGCACAATTTGGATTATTTTTAATTTACCAAAAGCGATAATGAAAGAGAAGGAATTAACATAAAGTAAGTAAATATGATCCAAATTATATCATGTTTGGCATCATTTTAATTAAAAAATTTCACCAATATATAAAAAGTTCTTCATTGCATTAGTGTCGGCTCACAGATACGCGGGCTTCTAATTTTTTCGGCTTCCCCGACCGGCATTGCCAGTAAAATACAAACGTGAGCTGCCGAGGCTTGGTCCGAAATTTACCAGGTGCAGAAATGGTGTCCCTCTACGATAAGTATTACAACACGCTTCCGAGTTTTGAGCATTGATCGTGGATTTACTTTATGTTATAAAAAAAAAATGTGGTTTGCCAAATGTTTACATCTATTATGTTACTTCTGTAAATAATTAAAACAATATTAAAAAAGGTATTTGATAATGTAATAAATAAAATAATTAAAACAATACAAATACCTTTTTTGTTTCCATTAATAAGATTCAATTATGAATCTATGAAATATTAATAAGGATTAAGAAATTCTGATAACAAAGTAGCCGTAGTTGATCACAGAGGACATTCTAGAGAGTCTATGAATTATAGCAATTATGCACCACTTGAAGGCCTTTCCCAACAACATAACCATCTGCGCCACAATGGTAGAGGTTTCCTACGCCTATATAATAAACCAGCACGACCTCGTCTGGTATTAAGAGCACTGACTATTGCTTGATCGAATGCTTCTTTAAGATCATGTTGTGTTAATGCAGATGTCTCTACATAACTTACAGCACCTACTCTTTGTGCCAATTGATGTCCTTGGGTGGTTGTAATTGGTGTTTGTCCATATCTTGCTAATTGTAACATAAGGTGTACGTCTGACCTTAAGTCACTCTTTGTGCCTACCTAAAATTACCATTGTCATTGTTTCAACTTATGCTTTAATATTCTTAATTTTTAATGTTCTAATAATTTTTATAACCACTTAGTGTAATGTTATTACCAAAATAACAGGTGCATTTGGACAATATTTTCTTATTTCGTTTATCCACCGAGATGCTACACTATGGTAAGAGGATGGGCATACTACATTGAAGCAGGCTAGGAACACATCTGTTTCTGGATAACACAATGATCGCAAAGGATCAAAGTCGTCTTGACCTGCTGTGTCGCACAGTTGGACATTTAATGGTTGACCATCAACATTAACTACCACTATAAATAATCAAAACGATATTACATGAAGCACACTTTGTTGTATAAAATTATTAACAATAATAATTAATTGTGAATATCAAATTTGTACAAATTTGCTGTTTTACTAATTCTTCCTTTGTATTACTTCATCGTTTAAATCTTATAAATTTAATAGAATTATCAGACTCTAAGTTTTCTTTTGTAATAAACAATTAAGATAAGATTATGTGAAGAACAGGGAAAAGCTAGAGCTTACTCATAATATACTATTTCGTACATAAAATGAGATTTCGTTAAATTTACACGATAAAATAATGATTAAATATTGCACGAAGATAAACCTTTATCAGTTTTTATAAATAGGAAGAACGTCAATCAATAGTTCAAATTAAAACGAAATTTTAATTATCCAGCATCCAAAAAAAAATGTTTACATAACTAAAAACGATTAAATTCCATTATGAGTTACTATCGAGCAAGTCTCACCGTCTCATTGTTATTCCGAATTAAATTCATCACGGTCGTAGATCAGACTTACCACTGTATATTAAATATTCAACTAACCATTATAGTTATCGAAAGCGGTGGGCACGTATTCCCCGGGAAAACCGTTCGTCGAATATGAAACGACGAGGCTGGTCTTTCCAACGGCACCATCACCTACTAGAACAACTTTGATTCTCCGGTCAAGCGGACTAGCAATGTGGTCCGTGTCATTGCCGTTCGTATTCTGATTTTGTATCGTGCAAGTCGTCCGTTTCGCCTGCATTTGCATCTGCGTCGTCTGTTTACCTTTCAACAGTGGCTTGGTCCAATTCGTGTGGGATGACGGCGGCATTATTTCGTTCTTTATTTTACCAGAAACACGAGCTTTCATGTGTCATACACTGCACCGAATAATATCGTCGACTATAACCTCTACCTGTCTCACACAGGGATGGGACACAATCAATCGCATCTATCACGACACGTTCCTCCAGAGAATCATCATATTTCTCGTCCCTTCTGCCGGACACTTGTAGCTCACGCGATCACGGATCGAGTTTCGGACACGATGCTCCCGATATGCCCTGTCAGGTACTTGTGTGCATCGCTCGAAAACAATGGGGGGAACGTACACTGTCCAGGAAAGATAAAAAAAGAAAGGGGAGAAAAAAAGAAACTGATCCACCTGCCGCGGCACGGAGCCACCTGTTATTACGCTTTTCTTGCGGCGATCCCAACCGACGGCACAGGTACCATGCGCCTCCCATCAACCCTTTCATTCCCATGTTATTTAATGGCCACGGAAAACATGTTTGTCATCAGTGTGCATGTACATGATTCTAATGCGAATGCATGAAAATTTAGATATCTGCAGGTAAATTTAGAATAACTAAAAATAAACAGCCGGTTCCTCTATTGAAAGTATTGTTATAGACTAACAACAGAATGACATCTTTATTGTTTGAAATTACAGCTTTTATTCTTACGAGTGTTAGCGATGTAGTATGTATATGTAGCATTGGCGGGGCTTACACATGCGATGTAGATGATTTAGAAATATTATTTGTTTTGATTTTCTATTCCATTAGGTTACCTTTATGACTAGTTTACTTAGACAGATGTTTATCAGCAATTAGAATTTTCGAAAAACTCAATTTTCAGTTTGGAATTTTGTATCCTAAGTTTGTGGTCATGTAATTAGTGAAACCGGTAGACGAACCGGGCATACAAAAAAAAAGTAGTATGAGACGCTTTTTCGTTGGACACGAGTGGTGGTAGAATCGTATACACATATGTATTTACTTACATACTGTGTGGTAACAGTAGTTTAAACAAAATTTTTTAGATCAATAAATGAAATGATATTGTACATTTTTTGATACAGAAATGTTTCAAGAGATTCGTGGAATATTTTAAAGTTAAATTAAAACATTTGAACACACTAAAGTAGAATGTATATACACATATTCAGACACGATATGCGCTACGTATTTTTCGTTAAGTATTAGTACGTCATAACATATTAATAAAGTAATAAGAAAAATTTACTATAATGGAAAACGAAATTGATATTTTGGATATGTTCATAATGAATAAAATAAGATATTAATTTATAGTTTTCTACGTTATTAGTAAATGATAATTGTATAAATATCTGCCTCTCTACAAAAAATATTATATAAATTTTTTTAATAATTCGTAATTTATTCCAATGAAATTAATGTACTCTATTAAAAACAAATATGTAAAATACATTTATAAGATAACATATATGTACAATGTATGTATTTATCATTCAAATAGTAGATGGCGTTTATCAAGTAGATAGTGTTAAAGTTTTGTACATTTTTGTATTGGCTCAAGTTTGTAAGGCCTTTTGTTCGACTTTATTTCCTTTGTTTCGAATTTTTATAATTATTAATAGTACTGTAATTAATAAATTACTGTCATTAACAGGACGTTAAAGTGTATTAAACACAAACGAACACGCATATATTTAACGTGAGTACTTTTAATAAGAGAGACTAAATTAATCCAAATTATTATCAAATTTTATAATGCTAAATACGTGAATTCTTTTATAGTTAATACGTTTTTAAGATGATTGACACATTTTTTTTAGATACATAACTTATATCACATACATTTCTTGTAGGGATTAATGTCAACTTGAAATTAACCTTACATCCCAAGAAGACTGCAAGGATACATTTAACATACCTTCTTTTTGATAAAGATTGTCATTTGTGATGACTACCTATAGAATTTTCAAATTTATTCGACATGTGAGGTTTGTGACTTTATTGTTCACATAACAATGTTTATCTTCATATAAATTCATAATATACCTTTTAGAAGAAACTCTTACAAATGTTGTACAGATATATATTCAAAGGGATTTCTGAAAATTTCTATGAATCGAAGGTTCTCAAGGAGATATGCTTCAAATGCAACGAATCATAAAGCTACTTCATGGTATTCCTTTGTAAAATGGGAATGGAGTGTTCCTGTTGGGATATCTTTGTCATTGTTAGGAATATTACAATGGAGGCATTTACAAAAATATCCATACCCAACTAACAATGGCAATGTGTATGAACCAATTAGTATTTTTGTGGTAAAGTATTTTCTAATAGCATGTTTATCTATAAAAATAAATATAATAGCACGTAGTAAATTTATCTGTAATAGCAGATTCACTCTTCATTATACTTAAGAATTAGCTTCACAAATAGTACACCTTAGAAGTTGAACTAAATATCTATTTAACTTTTTCTTCACACAGGTGAAATGTTCTTACTACTTGCCACTGCGGATGATAAGCAGAATATGGGGCTGGATAGCTAGTTTGGAATTGCCAGTTGTTTTGAGACCAACTCTATATGGATTTTATGCAAGGACTTTTGATGCTAATCTAGATGAAATCGATGTAAACCTATCAGACTTTCCAAGTCTTGTCGATTTTTTTGTTAGACCACTTAAAAGCGATGCAAGACCTATTGATCATAAGGCAAATATGGTATGCAAATTCTATTCCAGTGTTAAGTATATAATGCAAACAATGTTGTATTTATGCAGAAATTAATTACAGGTTTCACCCTCTGATGGAACAGTATTACATTTTGGTCCGGTAACAGCGTGTCGTGTAGAACAAGTAAAGGGGGTAACTTACGATCTTAAGCATTTCTTAGGTCATGTAAATACACGTTCTTCGGATGATGCTCAAAGGTTAACACCAGATGATGATGATGCTTATGTAAAGTCGCTACTGAAAAGCCCAAGAAATCAACTTTATCAACTAACAGTTTATTTAGCTCCAGGAGATTATCACAGATTTCACAGTCCAACTGATTGGGAAATCGAGTTTCGTAAGCATTTCCAAGGTACATAATACTTTATCTGTATCTTATATTTTTTTATACTATATAAAGCATTATTAACCCTTTTGCTCTCGACATAAGACGCTCGTGCATTGTTAGAAATACTATGGGAATTGTTGTGTAACAAAAACAAGCTACAGAATGATAAAAGAGCATCGAAAGAGATTTAATTAAATTTCTGTTTAAAAACTAGCGTCGAATAGTCGACCCATATTGGCCAGAAACATTTTTGCATATGAATCGAATCGGTCTAAATCGGTCAATGGAATTAAAAGGGTTAATTGTAACAATTTCTTCATGTTCTAAATTCAGATTTGCCTGTTATTAATTTGATACATATTAGAACCTATGATTGAATTGTACACGCATAACGTTTACCTACTTTTCAGGAAAGCTGTTAAGTGTCAATCCAAGGGTAGCTAAATACCTACCGGATTTATTCTCATTAAACGAACGCGTGATATACATTGGAAAATGGGCTGGTGGTTTCATGGCTTATACTGCGGTCGGAGCCACGAACGTAGGTTCCATAAAAGTTTACTGTGATAGAGAACTGCAAACAAATACATTAATGTGGCCTGAGGCAAAGCACTGGAAAGATGCTAGTTTAGGGTGTGCGCGTATTAGCAAAGGAGAATTGTTTGGCGAATTTAGAATGGGATCTACTGTTGTATTGCTGTTTGAAGCTCCAAAAGATTTCAAATTCTGCATACAAGTGGGTCAGACAATAAAAATGGGTCAAGCTTTAACCGACTGTAGTGTTGCTGTTGAAGAGAAACCTGCACATTCGTCATGACAATTAATAAATCACGTTGCACTCGGCTGGAAATACGTTTGGAGAGCAGACGCATGACTGATCTTTATTGGCATTGTTGTTGCTGTCGACACACCTTTAGCGAAACATTGATTACAACGAGGAATGAACGGAAAATGTCAAATAAATTGCCAAATTTCAAAAACATCAATCCCTTGAAACTTTTATAGACTTTGTAAATGTAAAGAAAGTAATAGAAAATTATAGATAGTTATCATTCAATGTTTGAAGAATCAGAATTATTTTTATCAGAGCTGTACATATTTATAAATACAAAATCGCTTCAAAAAGTGACAATTTGGTACACTTTTGAAGCTGCTGTAAACTAAAGGTATTTTCATGTTCGATCGAAGTATGTAAAATGTTGTGTTGCACAATCACCACTATTGCTCGTGTGACACTTGTCTGTACATGATTTCATGTTGTGATACTTTTTAGAAATATGTTTCAAATAAGCAATCCTGTAATGTATATTAGTGCGTGTGCACACAGGATTCAATTCTGCAAACTTTGCAAAGACAATTTTGTATATGGTCCTGATAATATACAATGAAGAGAAGGATGAATAAATTGTATTTGTGCAATAAATGTTTCACTAACCATTTTTTCAATGTCCTCACACAGTTGTCTTTTAAAAACTACTTAAATGTGGAATTGTTTAAAGTAACGAACTTTTAGGTAAATAATTAAATTACGTGTATTCGGTAAGTGAAAATTAGATGGTCGAAGGCTTCTTGATTTTGTCGCGCGTAAACACTTTCTTTTCTCGGTTCAGCTGCCTGTAAGCCTCTAAAACTGTTTAGAAGCCTTTCAGCACCGGCGGTGTTGTAGCTGTCAATCAGATAGCTGATCATGCAGCATATATTTAGACTAACAACTGTGACATCAGTGTCAAATTCATATAATTACATTGTAAAGTATCTGTTGCATTACACGTTCTCTATTGTTCAACTAAAAGGAATATAATGTATATTATTTAATAAAACCAAGAAATACCAAACGGTCACATGATAAACAATGACCACTTATTCCATATTAAAAGGAATTAGAGGCATAAAAAATGCAAAATTGTGCCACTTTTCGCGTAACGTAACATTGTGTTCAATGAGGACACTTTACAAACGAAGTGACTGTACGTTATGTTACTGAATATTTGAAGAACATTATACGTGTCTTTACACTCTCGAACGTAGACTGGGCAATACAAACAATCCCTAATGGTAGGAATAATAGCTTTCATTATTACTAAACTGCAGTACATACATTATAAACGATTTTTCAATGTATAATACGGTGAAAAGTTTAGTAGAGCTGTAATTTTTTGTTTAATCCAAATGAAATCTCGAATGGACTAAAACAAATTCACCCCCATGAAATTTACTTAACGTACCGACGTAGTACATACTGGTAAATCGTTAATTTAAAGAACACTAACTTTTTCAATTCAATTTTTCATAATTACTTTAATATTTCAAATTTTCGATATTGAAATTATCTCAATTATTCCAATTAGTTTCATTCCTAAAAATACTAATTAAAGAAATAATTAAAGTTATACACTAAATCTCAGATCAACGCTTGTGTGTAGTTCACGACAAATATAGTCCCCCGATTCTAGGCAATTCGATATCGATGTTTTCAGAAAGTAGGTGAACCTTCGGACACCCTCATGTGCTTGGCATAGCGTCGTGGGATCATTACCGACGATCTTGTAGTAGATACCAAGAAATTAGCATTACTTCATTAATGAAAATTGATAGAGTCTACTAACGGGGTCATAGTTTACATAACTCGATCGGAATATTTCCCGAACATGGGATCTGGATACGAAAGACTGTAGAACCATTTCAGCAATCTTGGATGATCTTGTAATACAGGACGACGATATAGTGTTTTTCTTTATAATTTTCAAATTTTCCGGGTACGATCACATAGGTATTGTGCAACATACTTTGGAACACATTGGAATCCTGACTCTGGATACAAGGGATTATGGGGTCAAGATTAACTTTGAACTATTCAGAGACGAACGACCATAATATGAGGAACTTTGGGGTCATTTGACTTCTGTTCTAGTTTCTGTACTCTGTAACACTGGAGACTCTTTGGAACTCCTAGATCCTATGATTCTACATATTGTAATGTTATAGCCAGAAAATTGTGCACGCCAATTATATGACAGCAAAGTTTGTTCGTTCGAGGATCTACGTCCTCCATATTGTTAATAGAATAAAACATACTGTACTATTTTGTCCCGTACTACAATTAATATGGTTAAATTCGTACAAAATTTTGTGGAACATCCGTATTACGTTGACTGCCATGGGGGTCACCGGATATACATGGTATTTCCGAAATGACGAATCAAAAACCCGAGAAGAAGTGACTCTACATGGAAAAATAAGTCGAAAATGTAGAATAAAATTTTTTCATATGACACTTTGTTTTCGAGATACTCGAACTTGAAAATTCATCGTATGTATAAGTAGAAACAGATTGCCATAGAACAGACGCATTGTAATATTCAAATTCGATTTTCTCGAAAACGAAGCATCGTACGAAAAAATTTTATTCTACATTTTCGACTTATTTTTCCATTTAGAGTTACATCCTTTCGAGTTCAACTACCATTTTGGAAACATTCTGTTGTATGTAATTTGGATCATAAATATTTACTTCCTTCACGTTAAGCTTATTCTCTTTCATGATTGTTTCCGATAAATTATAAATGAGCCATTGTTTATAGTGTTTGGTCCCATTTTAATCGGAAAAATGTTACCAGTATGTTAACAAAATTTCCATTAACCCTCATATGAAAGACGTGAAAGTCAATGGCCAGATCATACGTGACCCATTAATAGACACTGTATAATATTATATAAAAATATTGCATTCATTAACAAGAATTTTATAAAAAATAATATAAAATTTGTATTTTTGTAAAAATTGATTTTTGTTCATTTGTCAGTTCCTCAAAACATTGAAGCGTACTGAACGAAGTGACCCAGTCATTGTTACGTGATGGTGAACAAAGAACCAAAAATAAAAATGTTTCATCGTTGTATTAACTGTTCTTATAACGATACGCAAGATTCTAATCTTTGTTACGGCTGCCTCGACCGTCGTTGCCGGCGAAATACAATGGCTTGAACTGCCGAGAATTATGATGGCCCAAGATCAGAGTTGGGTAAAACATAATCTGATTAATCATTAAATATTATGACTACGTGAAATCAGGTCAGTAATCAATGATTACTGATTATAGAGTAATAACAGTAATTTACTCAGTAATAATTAATCACGAAGAGAGTATTACTTTTCATTGTGATTGGCTCTTCAGCACTAAACATGAAATATTTCATAAACTAATGGTCGCATGCGACTGAAACAGATATCAGTGGCTTCAGAATTCTAAACTGTATCACTCAGCTAAACTTGAGAGGACCTCTCCTTATCAGTGTCGAGGAGCCTTGGAACACTCATCGAGGATTTGCTGTACCGCCTCGGAGTCGTCTATAAAGGTTGATAAAAAAAAAGGGTTCATAACTTTTGGGGTAGATAATATTCGCCAAATGATGAAAAAAATTCCTGATAAATATGGGTTGTAAAATTAATATTTTCAAAGTTAAACAATTTTTCGTTTCGGTTAAAGCGAGTGACTTTCTCGCTTTCAGAGCTATCGTACCGTATGGAAACATTGAAGATTGCGATAAGCGTTCCAAGCGACCGGGGCATGGAACACAACGTCGATCGTGGTCGCGAAAGGTACACGAGGCCGTGTCGGCGCGGGGTTGGGCGGCGAAATACAGCGGAATCAAAGCCGCCCGCCGCCGTCGTCGTCGTCGCGTGCCGGAATCGCGTTACATCCTATGGACGCGGTGGGTTCAGTAAGCGTCGCGACGCCTGTGGCGCACGTTGCAAGAGGATCGTTTCCCTCACTCCCTTGCCTCGTCGCCGTTGTTTTACGATTCTGACAGTGCTCCAAATTCTGAAGAAAAAAACGAAAAAAAAAAAAAAAAATAGATTGTGATTGTTGCAACTCGCGAAAAAAAATCGTGTGCAAGTACACCAACGACGAGATCAATACGGTTCGACCTGTCGTGTTCATGCCTTTTTGTCTCTTCGCTCGATCATCGTGTCGGCGAAGAAGAGGTTTTCCTGCGATCTTTTCTTCCTCGTCTTCTTTTTCTTCTTTTTTTTATTTCGACTCTTCGAGTACGATTATGGGGCCAGATGGGTGCTGATGGACATTTTCGAGTGACCTTATCCCTGAGGAGGGAACCGGCTGCGGGTCCAGTTTACTGTAAGATGGAAACGTCAGCGCGATTCAGGCAGCTGAAAACGGTCAAACTGAGCTGCGAGGCTACCTATCGGCTGGACATCAGCTTCAAACCGCCGCAACTGTTGGAGTGGGTACAGTGTGAATCAATTGATCGATGATCTTTACACGTTTCAGGGGGTATAAGTGGGCTGTCCCACGGTGGTTCGGAATCGAAATTTAGCAGTTCGTACGTTCATTTATCTCGAGCAATACAAAATTTCGATACTTATGGATTTTATATTCAAATAGAAGTGAAAAGTACGAATCAGTTCAAAAGTTTGAATTGATTCGTAGTGAATATTTTCTTCTGTTTTTGATTAAGATCGACGATTTCTTGAATTAATCTGAAAATGCTACCAAACACAAATTCTTCATTGGTATGGAATAATTATCTATAAGAATTTGTCAAAAAACATGGCGACTTTATAGAACTTTCGTCCAGTGTCTATTCGTAATGGTAGTGTAAGTAGAAATGGACGGCAATGGCCAGACGCGCTAGCAAAATTCTATTCGGTTGCACGCGTATCCAGCAGATATTCAAAGTCGTATTTCTCGAAAACTAAGTCAACAATAATAAAATTTTATTCTTTACTGTTTTTCTTGTTTTTTCATAAGGAATCACGTAATGTCCTCGTCTTGACATATTATTCGGCCAGACCCTTTGTACACTCGAAAAACGGATAAGAATCAGACAACGTCGGTATAAAGCAGTCACGTTTCTTTTTTCGACCGTGTTTGATGTGATATGAATCGTGGAGAAAAGGTTACACATCTATTTCGAACGCAAGTTGAAGGACGTGAATCATTGCCTGAAAACCGTACGGAATGACATAGTGCGCATTTCGCGGTGTGTCGAGACCCGAATGTCGTGCACACGCGTACCTATGCTGTGTAATGCTCGCGTTTCGTTCTGTGCCCATTGGTCGCCGATAAACATGCATTACATATTTCAACTAGGGACACACGCTCGATGGCTACACGAAATCAGGCGTGTTCAACCGACGTGCGCCGGGGGATGTTTATTTGAATAAAATATACAGGGTGTCGTGTAAGTGTTCGTACAACTGGGTAGAGGATGATTCTATGTGAAAAAATAAGTCGGAAATATACAATGAAATTTGTTCATTTGAGATTTTGTTTTCGAGATAATCGAATGTGAAAATCTTTCCAAAGTCTTTTTGAAAATCGATTTGATGATCTTTGGAGTGCAATTGAGGGGCACAGTGGAAAAGGAGCACATCTACGTTGATTTTCAGTTTTTTGTAGCATGAACAAGCTCTAATCATCTAGTCTCCATTCTATGAACTTCAAGCACCGTGGAATGTAGATACCCTTTCGTAAACAAAAGCATATTAAAATTCTTTGGTATTAGAAACAAATAAATTTTTAGCAGAAAAGAGGCCCACGTCACTCTATCTTCTTAGAGAACTTTTAACAAAAAAGGGGCTTAGTGGAAAACTGGCATATGTCACAATACTGTAAATGAATTTACATAACTATGTTTAGAAAGAATAACTAACATTATTCTTGGTCATATAGTTCAACGCATAATAAAGTTTCAAGTTAACGTTGAAAAATAATAAAAATGAAACAAATCGCCGAAGTGATAACTTTTTTGTTCACTGCTGTATGTGTGCAAGTATAAAAAAATCTGTTCTGTAGAAGTGGACCAAAATTCGATTTCTAGATTTTACCCAGGAAAAACAAACAAACAATGAAACCTCTCTAAATAAACAATAAACAAAAATAAATAAAAAATCCTGTAAAAACCTTGCTGGCCAGACGCGACATATATTTCTACCACTTGTCCCGCGGTTAAATAGAGAAACATGTGTTGTACTTTTTCATTTGTAACGTGTTTCTTTCTTTCTTATTTGTTAGGTCATCGGAAAAAAGTTATGACCGTTTTGAGGATACATCAGACACGGCAATTTAATTGTATTAAAAGTGCTCCGTGCATTTAACTCAATTCTAGTAATGTGCCACTTAATTTTATTGAAAACAGTTAGACGCTTTGAATGTCGTTCTTACCGTCAGTCTTTCAGTGCGCGTCAGACTTTTGCTTGTATATTCCTAACCTAATACATTCAATATTCTTTTTTTTATGAAACATCAAACTGAACGATTGTATGTGTTTTTTTAAAAATTGGTTTCTCGTAATTTCCTGTACTTCTGTTTCTCGTCAATATTTCTCGATTTGCTCAGAGTAAACATCTTTTATGAATCATTTTTTGTCTGAAAGGACGATGATATGAATTTGATATCTTGTATAATGGTTGGATTTTGATACGGTACTTAATGACTTCACATAACAAAATATACCTTACGAAACATTGATATTTACTGAGAAACATAAAGTAAAAAATCCTGGAAATAGAGAATTGGAAACAAAAATATTTCTGAAATGAAAGAAAATTATAAAATGTGTGTGTAACTTAATACAATATAAAATGCGGTATATTATATTTTTGCGTTTTTTATATTATCTTATTGTAATTGACGAATTATTTAAACAAGAATACTTATATTTATGGCAAGTAATGTTTACCTTATTGTATAGCATCGTACTGCAATTGTAGTGGACAATTAAAGAATTTTTAATAATCCTTAACAAACAGGAAATCCTCTTTGCAGGCGAGGAATAATTAGAACAGTATCGTCATTTTCAATACTACATATTGTATTAGAAGAAATGCTATTATAGGAGCAGTGTATTCTGTTCTATGATTAGATATTGGCGCACAATACCCCTTTGCGAATAATGGCGCCGAGATGAATAATAAACACGGAGCGTTTCGTAAGATTGACGTAGGACTTGATCCAATTAAAATGAATTCTTAAATAAACGACAAACCTATTAATGTTCCGTATTCCCGTTTTATTGTATTTTCATCGTCTTTTTATTACCATTGGCGGGGCTGTTAATATGTTCAAAAGGACCACCTGAATTGCTTCTTGAAGAAGAATACACATAAAGTGAAACGAAAATCGCAATACAATTAAACCGATTAAAGATGTTCCAAAAGTAAAATAAAATTATGGATACAATTGTTCATAGTCGTTTCTTTCCCAGAAAATCGTTTCTCTTTAAAATTAGACTGGTGTTTCTGTAGTTGAGTAAATGGAACTCCGACATGTCTGGCCATGACTGACTGTTTCTACTGATATCAATACTTCTGAAATGATAATAATTATAAGTGGGTTGTCTACGTTTAATCTGGATGTATCAAACACATTCGTGAAAAATGTTAGCGACATCATTTAATAAAGTTCCTTTTTATTTTCAACTCAATAAGGACTTCAATAATAATGAGGAAATAAAATATTTACAAAATTACTGCTTTTGTAAATTGGGTTATACAAAATGTGAATTTGAGAACGTTCACAGACGATAATACAGTAAGATGAGAAAGGGATCCGTAATACTAGACCACCATTAGAGTATGGAAGAAGTAGTAACAGCCAGTAATGGTCTGACGCATTTCTCGAGTAGAGCAAAGTCTTTTAAAGGGGTACACCACCCTGAGGCGACTAGGAATAGTTTGGGAATTTTCTTTTCATAGATACTTAGTTCACTTACTAAATGGAAACCTTCCAGTTTTCCAAGGATATAAATGTAGCTTTCAGTTTTATTCTTTACTTTTTAAAAAGTAAAAATGTTACAAAATGGTGAAGTTTTTTGCTAATTCCGAAACCTCTTCTGCTTCTCGATTCATAAAGAAGAATGTCTTACCTACAATGTAGCGTAGGATTTTTTCGATATCTCAATTATTTAATTTTTTTAGAAACGTTTCATTATTTCTGTTTTTCATGATTAATACGTTAATTCACCTGAAAACGAAAGCTCATATGGAATACTTCTGCTTCGCCAGATCGATTTACTTTTGCACAACGACCTGCACAACCCTATTTCGGTAGTACCATCGACTTCCGCCCAGCGTTTACGTATTTCCGTTCGCCTGAACAACCCCGAAGGTCGGTCGTGTCCATCTGTTCTCAGCCGCCGTAGCTCAATATAACTCTAAGAAATATAAAGTGCGATCGTTCCGGTCTTATGGGACCTAAGGTGTTTTATGGATCCATACGGGAGACGATCGTAGGATCGGAGGAACGTAAAACGTCGCGGCGAGAGATAGAATTTCTTTCGTCGCGATCAATCGAAATTTATTACACGACCAGAGCAAAGGATTTTTGGAATTATTTCCGTGCGTTCTTAAATAATTCGTGTTGTAACGTTCCAAACGGATGTTTTAAGACGACAAGGTAACGATCGAGGATAAGTGTCGATTTACGGGATGATATCCTTCATGGATCGAGAATTATGATAGAAATGCTGCCTGAAGTCGACGATGTGGATTTCGAATAATTCATGTTGGAAAGTTAGAAATTGACGTCATAAGACGACGATGTAACGATCGAGGATAAGTATCGATCTACGGGATGATATCCTTCATGAATCGAGAATTATGATAGAAACGTCAGTCTAAGATGAGAAGATGGTTTTCGAATAATTCATGTTGGAAAGTTGGAAATTGACGTCTTAAGACGACTACGTAACGATCGAGGATAAGTCTCGATCCACGGATGATAGCCTTCGGGAATCGAGAATTACGAAGTGTTCGAACGCAGAAATACTGATAGCCTTTTGTTGGCGGTAATACAGGAAATAACCACCGAGGATGACAAACGCATGCACGTTAAACGCTCGTTTCGGTACCGCTTGGTCCGTGGATCGTTTGGCACGACGCGGCTTTACCCTCAAACGCCAAACGGAAGTATAAAAATGATAGCACCGGATAATTGGGTCACCGCCTGGGACAAACTTCTTTCATTTCAGCCGATAATTTATTCTCTTCTTTTTTTCTTTTAAAGATTCTATCACAGGATAGAAATTTGAATATCGGGCCAGTACAGATTTGTTTCTTACAAGGGAACTTTTACTCAGATGTTAAATTAGTTTTGAAAAAATTGTGATTGGAAATTATCGGACTCGACACGTTAAGAACTGAAATAAGTGTTCACTCGCTCGGAAAATTCAGTATTGATCAGAAAACTGGCGCCAGAAACCATTATGAGCAGCACTGAAAA